TGTTAAGATGTTTTTCGGGGATACATTATATGATGTGAAGCGTTTGATGAGCCATATTCATAATCTCCACGGTGGTTTAGATGGGGTGGCGAGACAACTCGGGTTGGTCCGGGTGGCTGGGAGACAACATCAGGCTGGTTCAGATAGTTTATTAACATGTCATGTCTTTTATAAGATGAGAAATAATTATTTCGTAAAAGGTGTGCCGGACCCCGGCTTTTTGTATGGATTAACTAATTGAAGCGTAATTAAAGATTAATTTGATTAATAGTAATTGTTTGTGGATCCAATTGATTATCTATAGTTAAATTAATTAAAGGCGAGTTGATCTGGTAAACTTTCTCTGTCTCAACCTTGTGATCTGATGTGTGTAACATCACAAGATTGAAATACATTTTTGATATAATTTACCTAGTAATAATACCTATCGGATTATAATTCATGAATAGTTGTACACTTCTTCTATCTAGGGCTAACCGACAATGTCTCTAATTGAATAGGGAAAGATAGACGTTTCTTTGAAGTGTAATTAAAAATATAATTAGTTTTTTTTAAAGTAATGATCAATTCAAATACAACTTAATTCTCCGTGGAATGAATTATATGGAAATTTTCTTCATTCTTATTAATATTATTTCACCCCGCGACTTCATGTTGCTCGATATTTTGATATTATTATTTGTTGTTTATCAAAACTACATGCAATCGTCAAACGGAAGTTTCTTCTATATTTGGAAGTATTTTTAAAAAAATCATAGGACTAATAAGGAAAACTATATAACTAACAAAATTTTAAAAATAGTTTAAATTATTCCCTTCTTTTGAATTGCCAGAACCTTGACAGTTCCAAGTGATTTTCTTTCCCAACATGTACACACAAAAACCGTCGAAATCGAGTGTAGGTTTAAACAAAAAATATCAACATCTGTAGGATACTAGAGAAGAAAAATCACAATTTGGAAGTGTGATCAACACGCGCGAGACTCAATCTAGCTCCTTATCAATCATGGGATTAACTTCGAAGAGAACTAGGTTTCAAAGGTTAATTCAATAGATTTAGCCTAGTTTATGTTACACATCACAAACCTATTCTCAGGATGTGAATCGGTTGTCATAAGTGTATCAACTTGGGTCTGGTGGTATACTACTTGTTCATATATGTTAAAGGTCAATTCTTAAGTATAAAAGTGGTTTGGATGTGAGTTAAGGTCATAATGAACATTTAGCACAAAGATGAGTTGAGTTGAGAGGTTCCCTAAAAGGTAAGTTTTTCTCGCAAGTTCATTCGAGGATCAACTTCAATCAATCCTACCACCTCATAAATAAAGAGTTTTGTGGCCTAATACCAAGAAATGGAAGGTCGGGAAGTTTTCTTTTCTCTAAGAATTCCTAAATTTCGCAAGATTTTCCGTTCTACGTATATGGAGTTTCATTGATGGATATATTTTCTTCCATTAAATCTCCAAGAAAACCTTATTCTTCAGTTAATCAAATTTTATAAAACTTAGGGTTCATATGAAAAGCATGAATTACACCTTATTTCAATTTTTTTTTCCATAAAGAGACGATGAATACATGCTTTTACCTAATATTAAATAGTTTTATAAGGTTATTTTCTTAAGCCCTCGGAATAGGAAATATTCATGTCTTCGAAATCGTGTTGCTTAAATTACATTTATTTTTTAAATGGTGTGGCGCCGAAGAACCATGTCGGCGTTTTTGCATGGATTTCAAAGTGTAATTATGTATATAATTAGTTTTTTTTTTAATTAAAAAAATGCACAAGTATCCCTAACTTATGTCTAAAATTCCAGAGATACACTTATACATCTTGATTTTCCCCTTAACTTATTTTATAAATAATTTTCTATCCCTTTTCTGCCTACGTGACACTATCTTGTGGGCCCAACGCATGTTGACATTTTTTTCAAGCTAGTGCCACGTAGACCAAAAAGAGGTAGAAAAATATTTATTAAATAAGTTCAAGAGTAGTAGGACCTTAGTATAGTATAAGTGTGTCTCTGAGCTTTCAAGCATGGGTTGGGGGGGTTACTTATTCATTTTCCCTTTTGTTTATTTATGACATTTTATTTTCAAGTATATGTTATGGTATATTATATCAACACAATCTAAAAAAATGCATGACCAAAGTTTATGTGTAATTATAGTATTTATGTCGTTCCGCTTTTATCTGATATTTTCAAGAGAGACTATACAATAATTTATATATCTACTGAAATCTGAGTCAAAGTTACTGAATTCTGGCAAATTTGTAGCCAACCATGCAAACAAGAAATTGCATGCATCGGAAGGTAATTTTTGCTTGATTTCGAACATTGTGTCCTCTTTTTAAAGTACTTCAGTACGAATTTTGTATCATCTCCGCCACTGAGCTTGTAAGTCCTCATCTTTCGAGGACAAGAGCTATTTTTTTTTCCTTATGTTAATCTTCAGTTTTAGATAGTTAGAGTTAGTTCAACTCATCTAAAAAGGGGGTTTCACACATGTTTCTAACTTTATGGTTTGTTCAAAGCAATTCTATTTTGACTATTCAGTTGTTTTGGATTTATTTCAGTTTAACTTCCCCATCAGTTATCTTCAGTTGTTATTTGTATAGATATTAATGTTATGCCAGATCGTGGGTTAACTTGGGTCACTTGTGGTTCTAAGCACTGTGTTACGACTAGAGTGATAGTCTCGGGTCATGACAATTGATAATTTATTTGAGGCTTGTATTCAATGACTCGGTGAATTGGGTAACATTTCAATAAGCATATGATCATATTGGGTGTCGAATACATATACTCGAACGTGGATAACTTCACGTGAGTTAACCGTTTTCTTTTTTTAGAAATTTTCAAGATGTTTTTCGAAAAATTTATGATGTGAATTATTTGATGGGGTGTTGTCATCTTTACGGTGGTTTAAACGGGCAACAGGGTGGTGGCCAGTGGGAGAATTAGGTTTGGACTGAGTGGTTGGGAGGCAACATCAGGCTGGTTCAAATAGTTTGTTGCTTCTATATTTGGAAGTTTTAAAATGTCACAGGACTAATAATGGAAAATTATATAACTTGTAAAATTATAAAAATAATTCAATTTGGGATTGTGTTGTTTAAATTACATGAACTATTCATGATGATAGAATTTGTTAGGGTCAATTGTACTTTCAATATTTCAATTCCACGCGTATATGATGCTTCCAGATAAAACATTTATTATTTTACTATTTTTGAGCTATCCAGTATTATCAGGATTACACAATTTACCAATATAATTCAATTGAGAGTATTACTTAGCACCGAGTAGACATAGGGATGAAGGCTCACCTATTGGCTAGGACTGAGACCTTTAGTAGCAATCCTTAAGTCTCAGACCTTTAGATGAATTTTTTGAATTCGTCAAGATTTTTTTTGGAGATAAATTATATGATCAGAAGGGTTTGATGAGACATTTTCATTATCTTCATGGTGGTTTAGATGGGGTGGCGAGACAACTCGGTTTGGTCCGGGTGGCTAGGAGGCAACATCAGGCCAGCTCAGATAGTTTATTGACATGTCGCGTCTTTTATAAGATGAGAAATAATTATTTTGTAAAAGGTGTGTCAAACGTCGACGTTTTGCATGGATTAACTAATCAACTTGATTAATAGTAATTGTTTGTGGATCCAATTGATAATCTATTGGTAAATTAATTAAAGGCGTATTGATTTGATAAACTTTCTCAGTCTCAATATTTTGATTTGATATGTGTAACATCACAATATTGAAATACATTTTGATATAATATACGAACATAGTAATAATTCCTATCGGATTAATGATTCATGTATAGTTGTACGCATCTTCTATCTTGGACTAACAAATACAATAAAATAACAATGTCTCTCATTAAATAGGGAAAGATAGACTTTTCTTTGAAGCGTAGCTGAGGATACAATTAATTTTTTTTTCAAAAAAAGAAGTAATGATCAATTTAATTACGACTTAATTCTTTGTGGAATTATTTATATGAAATTATTCTTCATTATTTTTATAACTATTATTTCAACCTGCGACTTCATGTCGCTCAATATTTGGATATTGTTATTTGTTGTTTTTCAAAACAACATGCAATCATTAAATGAAAGTTTCTTCTATATTTGGAAGTATTTTAAATATTAAGAAAAATCATAGGACTAAAAGTTAAACTATATAACTATTTTTCCGTCTATTTTTAATTGTCATGTTGCGTTTTTAAAAATGTATTTAATTAACTTTTAATGTTATTAGATTAATTAATATGTTAAATGAGAATTTTTAATATTTAAAAATTATACAAAAAGTACGTTAAATTGTATTTTTTTTGTATATTAATATGATGAAAAATACATCATAAAATGTTAGTCAATTGTTGGACTCTAAAAAAGAAAATTATACAATTAAAAGTGGACGAAGGTAGTTGTAAAAATTTAAAAATAGTGAAAACCATTCCCTTCATTTGGAAATATCATTACCCTATAAAAAAATAAAAATAAGATTCCCGTTCTTCTTTTTTTTTAAAGATCTATATTCATTTTACAATTCCGAAATTCGACTAATGAAATTATATTGTTATCGTTGTTTATGAAGACTACTATATGAAATTATGAATACATAGAAAGAAAACTTGAACTCTGGTACAATTGTTTATATATTTGAAAGTATTTTAAATATTTTTTTTAAAAATAAAATAGGACTAATATAGAAAATTATATAAGTAGTAAAATTTTAATAAATATTTCAAATTATTCCCTCCATTTGCTAACATCATCCATTTATTTCCCTTTTAAGTTCTCTTCTCTTCCAATAAACTCAGCTCTTTCTACACTTCCATCAAATCCATCAATTCTTCATTCAAAACACAGAATTCATTTTCGATTTTGCGATACACCCATTTCAGATATCGATTTTTCCTTCGAAACCCATAATTTATTTTCGTTTTTCTGTATACCCATCTCTGAATCTTGGTGAATTTTCAATCATGGCTGTTAATGGAGTAGATCCGAATGTATACCCGATCCTGATTCGAGAAGTATGGGCTGATAAACTCAAAGAAGCATTCCAAGAAATTTCTAATTCAATTGATCGATTCCCCTGTATATCCATGGATACAGAGTATCCCGGCAGAATCCACCATTCCCCGGTACCCTTTTTGCTGCAGTCTCCGGCACAGAAGTATAATGTGTTGAAATCGAATGTTGATGAATTGAAACTGATTCAAGTTGGGATTACCCTTTCTGATGCTAATGGGAACTTGCCGGAATTGGTAATTGAAGGGGAACGGTTTCGTGTCGTATGGCAGTTCAACTTCTCCGATTTCGACTCGACGCGTGATCGCTATGTAGAGGCCTCAATCCAGCTCCTTGTAGACAGTGGAATTGACTTAGAAGAGAATCTACGATTGGGGATTAGATCAATTGATTTCGGTGAATTGTTGATGTCGTCGGGGCTTGTATGCAATGATTCAGTGAGTTGGGTAACATTTCAAGGCGAGTTTGATATTGCATTCTTGTTGAAGATTCTCAGGGGGCGGAATCTTCCAGATAGTTTAGATGAGTTTTTCAAATTCGTTAAGATGTTTTTCGGAGATAAATTATATGATGTGAAGCGTTTGACGTGGCATTTTCCTCATGTTCACGGTGGTTTAGACGAGGTGGCGGGACAATTTGACTTGGTCCGGGTGGCTGGGATGCAACATCAGGCCGGTTCAGATAGTTTGTTAACATGTCACGTCTTTTATAGGATAAGAAATGATTTTTTTGTAAATGGTGTGCCAGATGCCGGCGTTTTAAATGGATTAACTTGAAGTGTAATTAAATATCGATTTGATCAAAGGTGTATTAGTTTGATAAAACTTTCTCTGTATATAATCTTGTGATCTGATATTTGTAAGATCACGAGTTTGAAAATACATTTTACGTAGTAGTAATAATATTGTCTATTGAATTAATGATCCATGTACAGTTGTACGCGTTTTCCATCTAGGGCTAAACGACATAATAAGGTAACAATGTCTCTCATTGAATAGGGAAAGATAGACGTTTCTTTGTTGAACTTGTTTTTTCTCTTTCTGGAGTCATCGGTATCTGTCTTGGAGTGCTTTGTGACCGTTCTCGAGCCCTAGCTGATGCTGTAGCTGCCATGTAACTTGGCTGATCAGCTGCTGTAGGTGAAGAGTTAACATTCGCTCTATGGGAGAGAAGAGCCATACGGTGATGATGGCTCTTCTCTTCCCTTCTGTAGCGAGGACTAGCAGAGTGAACTTGGATATTTTTCATCTTTAACGGTGGTGTCATGAGCAAGCCGTTGATATCCTCTCTATGGGAGAGAGGAGAAGGGACTACATACGATGAATAGAACTTTTGTTGATGGTCGCGATAGTATTGATGGTGTAACCTCCAAAACTCAGTGTCCGAGTCAGAGTAAGAACAAGCCGTATCAATTTCAATGTTCTTTATGCGATCTCTTGGTTGATCACATGAAGCTCTACTAATACTTTTGCGATTCTTTTCATCTATTAGGTCAAAAACTCTCAAATCCTCGTCAAGTTCTGCATTGTAACTTGAGTCTTCATCCTTATTCGAGGTCCACATCTGTAATACAAATTTGAAGTTATTAGATGTACTTGAGGTCCTCTATAAAAAAAGTATTCGAGGAAATATGAGAAGTTGACTAAGTAAAGAAAAGAGTCGAAATGTTTAATGATTATATATATATACCTTTCGAGAGAATGCATGAGCTAGAGTATTTTCGCGCTTTTTAGTAGCTTCCTTTGCTTTGTGTAACAAAGCTTCAATTTTTTCTAGTGCATGTAAATGATCATAACCATCTTTGTCCGGAATATAAGCTTGATTCATAGACTACATAAACATATGAAGAATAACGTATCAATATATTTTCTGCATCGTTCCAATCTTATCGGATGTTCCTAAAGGCTTTATTAATATAAATAAAACACTCACATTGGACTCCTTATCATTGAGATGAAGCTCCAAAATGCTTTTTGGCTCCTTGAACATTGAACCACAACTAATTCCTTCACAAGATAACCTTCTACGTTGATCGCACACCTGATCACCACGATAGATACATCATTTTCAGTTTAAGAGAACTGAACTAGAGTTTTATCGTTTATTGAGTTCTGAATAAATTATTTGTACATATTCAATATTTTTTCATACAAATATAAGATTTGAGTCAAAGTTACCTGAGTTTGCACGCGAACAAGAGATTGCATGCATTGGAGGGTAATTTGTGCTCGTTTTCGAACATTATGGCCTCTTATTAAAGCTTGCAACTTTACAACACCCTTAAGAGCTCCAAGTGCTTTTCTTGCCTAATATGTTCACACAAAAAAAATCATTGAAAATGAGAAAATAATTAAGAAGAAATGAAATGAAATGAAATAAATAAATAGTATTTCCTCTTGGTTTTTTTTAAATTAATCGTTTTTAAATCATTTAATGACGCCTCTAAAAATATTTGCATAATTTATACCTATATGATTCATATAATAAGAAAGGTGATATGACATTTTTAATAAGCGAATATCACGATTTATTTATCTAAAAAAGAAATGAGTAATTATTTTTCCAATATGATACTCTGTTTCTAGTTATGTCACCTATTATTATTGAATGTAAACTAATTAATTAGTACCATAAATATAGTAATTAATCTATTACTATAGATTAGAATGCATCGATAATATTAAAACTATAACAATCATGGAATATAACTTATTAAAAAATATACATGAATTAAGTTGTATACCTATTATATTATGTTATATTATTGACATAATTTAACATGCGATCAGAATAAAATATTATAATCGATATTATTATATTGAGAAAAATAATCTTTTCACCGTCAATATAAAATATAGAGACAAACTATAAAGGTATATTTATACATACCAAGTACCCTCTGAATGTTGTCTGAATGATAAGGATGGCACATTGTTGTTTAACTAAAATTGGAGGTTGTATGAGCTGAGTGATGTCTATAGTAGGTGTAGCCGCTGACGAATTCAGAATATAAAATTTATGAGTCGATAAATATAAGAAGTAAAATATAGAAAGAATATATATATATATTACTTGGTTCAATTTTTTTATCCGTCTATTTTAATAAATTAAGAGATTTTCTTTATACTACTCTTAGTATTATATTACTATACAAATTATACCATAGTACTAGTTAAATTTAAAATTCAAAAATAAAAATTATTAATAAGATTAGTTTAGTAAGGTATCTCTCTAATTAGCCAACAGAGGTCAAGTAATATGAAACAAACATTATTATTTTTTAGGAAAAAGGTAGAAATACCTCCCTAGATTATGACTCAAATTGCAGAGACACATTTTAACTAAACTAAGGTGATATTACCTAACTTGGACTCATTACTTTTGTAATATTGTACGCCTAATTGGCTTACATAGCATTCAAATATATTCAACACGTCTCAACTGTGTGGAGTTACGGGGTGTGTCACATAAGCCAAAAGGTATACAATATTATATATAAAATGAGCTCAAGGGGTAATAGAACTTTAGTTTAGTTAAAGTGTTTCTATAAGATTTCGGTCATAATCTGGTGAGTACTTATGCATTCTCCCCAATTTTTACTTATATCAATAGAGCAAAAAATTGTGTTAGTCAAAGTTTATACTCTGTAATTTGAATCTCAAAAAATCAAAAAGTATCACGTAAATTGAAACAAAAAATACGAATATAAAATATGAATAACCTGATAAGCTAGATCCACCCCTAGTACTCATAGGTGTTGCAATTGTTCCTTTTTGCTTGAAATCACTATTATTTGGCATAAATTTTGTAGCCAAATTTCTTTTGCTTGTTGTTGCTGAATCTGTTTGATTATTTTGATTGTGATGAATTAATGTTGTTTCTTGAAGTGTAGGTTTCCGGAAGATCCATCGTCGTTTCCCCCTCTTCTACAAGCGGAAAATTTAACTGTGAACTTCGTTACTAATTTGTGGTTAAATTATCGTTCTAACTACATAATTTATCCGTCGTTAATTTCTATATATCTAGAAATGAACTAATCAGCAGAATAACTCTAGATCTAGCCCTCTATGTCTCGTATTGCATGCTTTACATACTTTTAAAGAAAAAAGGTGCTTGTTGTCCCCCTCTGAATTTAGCAACCGATAAATTTCGTATTTAAATAAAAAAAAGCAAATGACAAATTTCATAGTTTAAAATAAGAAAGTAAATATATATATAAATAGATATAAAGTAGTTTAGATACTAAACACTCTTCACCTTTAACTTTAAAATTGTAATTCAAGTTATCAATAGAGTAAAAAAGTGAAATCTAGACGGGTTCAGATGATAAGCACCCTCGACCCTTGTTTGAAAGATTCCACCTCTTTGCTCTTCTAATGACTTGACTTCACAATTTTAGAGGTGGAGGTGGAGGGGTAGAAGTGCTTATCATCTGAACATTTTTTCATTTGCTAATTCTATTTAGCGACTGATAAACAGAAAAAAGAAATTGTTAGCTAGATTCGTTGCTAATTCTACTTAGCAAAGGATCAACAAAAAAAGATTATTAGCTATGTTCATCGCTAATTCTACTTAGCAACGGGTTAACATGATCTCTTTAGCTATACATTAACGACAAAGTTCATAGCTAATTTCAATTTTTGTGCGCGCACGCTTTTATAAACTAATTAACATGTTTATAATTAAGTAATATACCTTTTCTTCTTCTTCTTGGTCTTGAGCTTCTTCTCTTCTTCTAATACTTTTGATATCATCTTTGATAGGTGATCTAAAAGCCTTCTTCATTAACCCTAACCAAGAAGGCCCTCCAATTATACTCTTCCCTATGAAACATTTTGTTAGCAATGTTTCACCTTCATGTGTTACTAAACTTAGTTGATGATCATTTGTTTTTGTTGTTGTCCCTTGGCTTTGTGTGTGCTTGTTATATGAAGGGACATGTTTCTTCTTCATAATTTTGTTACTAAATGAAAGCTTATTAAAAACATAAAATACTTTGATTTTGTGTGTGTATATACATATATGTATGTAAAAGTTAAAATACTTCCTCAAAAGATTATTTGCTTCGTTTTGAGAATAATATATAGACAATGATATGTGACATGTTTCTTTCTTTATGCCAATGACCTTCTCTATTACTCCCTTAGTCCACGAATTTTTGGCAAGTATATTAAAAATAGATATTTAAAATTAATTATCAATTTAAATAATTAAGAATAATTAGTTATTTTTCCCGATTTTTCCTTAATAATTACTGTATTTGTTCAATTGAAAAATTAAGTAGACTTTTGATATTCTTACTATAGTAGGGTTATATTAGTCAAATTACACCATGTATGGAATTTTCTTTGAGGGGAGTGTATGACCTTATCCTGACAAACCATTGTAGACAGAGGAAATATTTGTTTTCTCTATATATGGAATGACACCAACATTCCGACTATATTTACTAATTCTTCTTATAGTTTGAAATAATTATGTACATATTGTTCCAGTAATTAATAATTTCATATCATATTTTAAATCACATACACTTCTATACGTATTTTTGTTACCAAACACACTCTTAAAAATAGATGTATACGGAGAGACGAACAAGAAAATAAATGTATCCTAAACATATGTGAATTACAATAAAATTTATGTATCTGAGATACCAGACAAATGTATTCCAGATACATACTGAAATATAGATAGATATAAAAGAGAGGTGAGTGAGTTAAAATAGAAGCAAAATATAATATATTTAGAATAAATTACACATTATTTTAATCCT